CTTTTTTAAAGAAAAATCTATAGCCTTTTCTTTTACTGTGTAATGTTTTACGATTGCTGAGATATTTATCGGATGTCTTGTAAAGTTTGTCATTTTTCGTAGTTTGAATTTCGATATAAGAAGCAACATCTGGTAGTATTGGGAGTAATACTCTTCAACTCGGAGTTGGAGCCTAACAAGAATTGCGTGATCAATTAACCATTATCAGCGATGTTTGGTATAAAGATTTAAATACAGGATGCGGCAGAAATACCTCCAACATATATCTCCCAGAATTACCTCGCACTAATAGATGTTAAGTTTAAAGTTTGTCATTTTTAAAGCCACCAGATCAAGATCAATAATATTGCAGGGGCACCGGACAATATATGTGGTGTAGAGTAGTTTTCACAGTGGAGGCTTCTATTTCACTAAGTCGGTCCTAAATTAGGTTCGACGTACAAAACGTTAGGAACTTGAAAATAATAGTTAATGACGCAGCAATCTAGTTTTGATGGTTAATACTTTAATGTCCGACATCGACAAACTCACCAACTTACTGAGCTCACTGGTGACTGCTACTACTACTACATATTATCTGTGGGAGAGTCTATTTACAATAGAATAGGTATGTTCCGGTATAACAATATGACAGCAATATTCTAAGCATTGATGAATGGTAGTCTTATAGCTATGCATAATTTAGATTCCGGAGAGAAAAATTGTCTCGCTTGACACAGTGAACCGAATTTCTTAGAAGCTTCTCTAGCGATGGATTCAATGTAGTATTTACAACTCATGTCAGCTAAGAACGTTAGTCTGAGAATGCGCAATGAGTCACTTTCTTGAAGGATAGCATCAGCCATGTTGATGGAAAGCAGAAAGGGTGTTTAATGGAGAGCAGTATAGTTTTGTAGGCGTTAAAATTGTCCCAGTTAACGACGGTCTTGAGATCGTTTTGTACATAGGCTGCCATTTTGCATTAGTGGCAATGGCGTCTTCATCTAGCATAGTAGCCATTTTTTGGAGCAGTGGGTCACATGACCATTGCCAGGTGGGGAATACATTCAAGGTAATTTTTCGTAGTAGATACCTAAACTACTTTTATTACAGAAGACCATATATGTAAGCATATACCTTATTATTTTTTATTTTTAGAAAATATTTTTATAATTAAAAAATTGAAGACTTGGTATAATATTATCACTTATGATAGTGTGATTATCACATGTTACTGCGTAGTATTTATTTCTAATTTATTTATTTAAAAATGAAAACATTTCTTCTTTAGGGAAAATATTTATGAACGTTTCTTGTTTCAAAAGCAAAAGACGTTTACACGTATGATCTTCCTTAGTGAAAATCGTCTATGGTTTAAAATGATGACGATGTTACTTTCCTGAAATTTTACCAAACTCAAGAGACATTGTACTTAATCATTGTTTATGTATGTGGTTATCTGGGAGTGAAAAAGTGAAAAGGAAACGAAACATTTTAAGAAATGTTATTTTCCTTATGAAATTAAGAGCGTCATTTAGAAAGATGAAACCTGCTACATGTGGCCCCCGAGCGGCAGTTTTCCCATCACTGATGTTAGCATTACGTGGGAGATATTTCGGGGAGGTATATGTGACACACCTTGTATAGGACACAAAAATGTTATATATAAGTGAAAAATTGGATTTGTTTCTGTTCCAGAAATTTTTAGTTTGGTTTGGTTTGTTTTGTTTTACGGCATATCAACTTCAATTGGTTTATTTAATGCCGACAAGATTTTTATTACTGGCTGTATTTTTTTCCTTCAAAAATATTTTGCTGGTAATATTTTTTCTTTCAAAAATGTATGACTTGCAACATTTTTCCTTCAAAAATGTATTGCTGTCAATATTTTTATTTCAAAAATATATTGCTGTCAATATTTTTACTTAAAAAATGTATTGCTATCAATATTTTTCCTTCAAAAATGCATTGCTGTCAATATTTTTTCGTCAAAAATGTGTTGCTGTCAATATTTTTTCTTCAAAAATGTATTGCTGTCAATATTTTTACTTAAAAAATGCATTGCTGTCAATATTTTTACTTAAAAAATGCATTGCTGTCAATATTTTTTCTTCAAAAATGTGTTGCTGTCAATATTTTTACTTAAAAAATGCTTTGCTGTCAATATTTTTCCTTCAAAAAGTTGCAATAGTTGTAAGTGAAATGTTGCATTAAATAAGTAACCGAGTAATCTTCTCGGTACATCGGAAACCTTATTGTAAAGTTTACCGATTGTTTTTAGTATAAATATCACTATGAGAAGAAACCTCACTACTCTTTTGTCAACTGGTCATTATAATTTGAGAAATAAGTAATTGTTATACCGGAACATTACCTATTCTACTGTAATAGACTCTCCCACACATAATAATAAGTAGTAGTAGTAGTAGTAGTAGTAGCGGTCGCCAGTTGGGCTCAGTGGAGTTGAGCGAGTCAGTCGATGTCGGACATTGAAATATCAACCTTCACAACTAGATTGCTGCGTCATTAACTCTTATTTCAAGTTCCTAAAGTTTTGTACGTCGGACCCTTTTAGGACCGACTTAGTGAAATACAAGCCTCCACTGTGAAAACTACTCTACAACAGTAATGTTCATTTCGGTGTAACAATTGTAATATTTTGAAGAATAAAGTTGTGAAACCAAAAAACGGAAATTATTTATGTCTCAGTCTAATAGACACAAGCTCAAATAGACACAGTTGACGACAAAATTATAAGCCTCTCCATGAATATATATATATATATATATATATATATATATATACACGCTTAGAAATATCATACTCACTCACTCCCTAAGAACCAAATAACACGCACACACACATAACAGCGACACGACCCCTCTCCAATAAAACTGTCAAACTGACCAGGGGAATTCAGAGCAGCATAGATCCATCCAGCTCTTATCTCAAATAACAACTTAAAAGAGACTGTTTGACCAACGCAAGGATTGTTAAAAGATTCATGTTAAAAAGATAAAAAAATAAAAAAACAAATGAAAACTACAGACAAAAGTTCATTTTCTCCAGACATTCATTTCTGTAGTTTACTGCTACCAGCAAGCAGAAATGTTTCTCCTGCCGATGATGGCCATTTTGGTCGAAACTAGTCGAGGAATCTAAATGAAATAATAATAAAAAAAAAACGAAAAAATATTAATCTACAACCCAGTGTGTCTGAAGATTTTAATTATTTAATATTTTTTATTGTTCAATATATATATATATATATATATATATATATATATATATATATATATAGAGAGAGAGAGAGAGAGAGAGAGAGAGAGAGACAGAGACAGAGACAGAGAGAGAGATAGATAGATATGAACAGACTGAGAGAGAAAGATAGATAGATAGAAATAGACTGAGACAGGAAAATGCTGAAACAGATTAGATAGATAGATAGATAGATAGATAGATAGATAGATAGATAGATAGATATGAACAGACTGAAATAGATAGATAGATAGATAGATAGATAGATAGATAGATATGAACAAAATGAAATAGATAGATAAATATGAACAGACTGCAATAGATATATAGATAGATAGATAGATAGATAGATAGATAGATAGATAGAAATAGACTGAGATGAGAAAAATACTGGGACAGATTAGATAGATAGATAGATAGATAGATAGATAGATAGATAGATAGATAGATAGTATCCTTGTTCGGGATAACACCTGCAAATTTTAATATCAGTCGATATTCACATATCCGTGCATGTAAGCCTCTCAGTTATCGCATCACGGCGGTAGAAGTGATAGACAATATTTTTCTCTCCGTAATAAAGAACTAAGAATGAAGTCCAGAGTCTATAAGGAATTGTAGTAAAGCCTAACCTCCCTACTCTTAAATCGCCTATTTTGTATCATACACAATCCCGAGATGTGACCGAAGATAAGCCCGTCACGGTTGACATTTTCATCAAAGATGAAAGCTATGCTCACATAAAAGCAAACCGAAAGTATTCACTGTCTTTTCCTATGTTACGAACGACCGGAAAGCAACATATTTATTATTTTGCTATTACTTTTTCACTCTTTCTGTTTCTTGCCTGGTTATTTCTGTAGTTCTTCAAATATGATGATAGGATACGTATAATTTATTTTTTTCCTCGTATAACTTCAACGAATAGTCGTCGCCAATTTTGTACTGTTTGTAGGATAGACTTTGTAAATTACAGATACAATAATAGTAACACATTTCAACAATACTCGGTCAGGCGCCGCTAATTCCCATATATACATATTTCCCTTTACCCGTCATATGATCTATTTCAAGATGAGGTTGACAGTGCTTGCTCTCTGGCGATCCGTGTTCGAACACAAGTATCGTCAGTGACATTTTATTCCTATATAACACTACGGTATCTCCGGACATGTTTTTGAGCTATCCAATAGAATAGTAAAACTTTTCTTTCTATTATTTATACGAAATCTCTTTATTTCCAAAAGGAGAGTTGGACTGTGAAGAATGAAAATATCGCTGATTTAAAGAAGTAAAAGTCGAGATGATAGTTTATCTTATTTTTTTGATGATTGGTATTTTTCGTATGTAAAAAAAAACAATGCATATACATATCCGCATACACGTGAAACACGCCTGGCCGATCATGTATATTTCGGTTCATGATTAACTAGGTAGAAGATTTCCTGTAGCAAGTGGACTTTTTTTTTCTGCGTTAGACTGGTTGCCAACCAAATCACGCCATCTAATCAACCCATAGCTAGGAGCTGAAGAGATAGATTTATACCTTTCCCATACGTTTTTACCTTTTGCATATTTCTATCAAATCGTGAAATGAAAGTTTACATCCTTTCGTATTAACACTGGTGTCCCTCAGGTCTCTCTCCTTTGTCCTAAGCTGTTTTTAATCTTCAATAACGAACTCCCCGGTGACATAATCCAAATTCTTAATGCAATAGTATTTGACCGACAAAGAAAAAAAGAAAAGAGGCTTTCTTGATTTCATGTTGCTAGCCACGATTAAAACACCTGCTCTGTTTGACATAAGTAAGTAATATAGAGATATAGGTGAACGGGTTCCTACTTGGATAATGTTACCTGTTAACCTACATATGATACAACTCGTTTATTCTGTACAGACAATCTAGGGACAAAGCATCGTGGACTCTCACCTTAGTGTCCTTGTGACTGTTATCACAACAGCTGCCCTGTCAATTATTATCTTATCTTAAACCATTTTGTTTTTCACCCTAATTAGTTAATCTTCTCAGATCTCTGATAACTTAGATTTTTGTTGGCAATTGCTTTTCAAGGTCGATCGTATGTCGATTGTAGATGATAAGCGTTCAGCTCGATCACTTAACGGCGAAACATCAGAAAATGTGTGGAAAACAACGCCCGAAAATCAGTCTGGGTGATGTAGCTAATCTAGGAAAGTGTTATATACCGTACCTATGAAGATAATGAGTATGTCCCAATCCTCATAAATACGTTGGACACTATTTTAAGTGGATGGGGTAATATGCTGTCTAAGTAGTCTACCACTAGCAGTGGTTTGATTACGTCACGCCGCTGGCGAGTATTGTATTTTGTTGATGGTATAAAGATTATCATTTCATTTCCAACCTCCGTTTTGGTTAATCCTCATTAAGTAACACTTCCTAGGTTACAATAGAAAGTAAAAGCCATATTTTTAATTGTTCAAATCTGATTTCCTCTAGCAGTAAATAATTTATTTTTAACGTGCTTTCTATCGTTTTGCCTCCACTGTACATAAGTTTCCATTCTCCGTGTCGCATGTTAAAACTATCATATGACAAATAAGCAGCACCATGTACAAGAAAAATTCAATACCGAAGAGGAATATCATCTTCAGTTCTTAAAGTTTAATAAATTTAATTTTGTATGCATATGTAGTCAGAAATAGCCATTCCTATTATAAAATCTCTAATAAATAAAAAGGCATTTTCCAAACGTACAAATATACAAGGTAACAGTGACTGTCGTAAAAGAATTATGAGAGTGAATTACTCATCTTTATTCGCATGAAGATACATTCTTGAATATGTCTGTGATTCTTTTCTTTAAATAACCTTTGAATTGAAACCCGGGGCTCTAAAGAAAAAAAAACAATGACTAAATAAAGGAATTCACATGTACTTTCTTATGTAATTCCGGTGGGTCGAAATAAATTTAAATAAACTCTGCCGTCGGCTGTACTTCGCTAATAAAGATGAGGCAGAGATTCGAACTTTTTTTTTACCATTTTAACATCTTTTGTTGGTTTGATGTCGGATTGGAACCGAAATAAATTCTCTTGGCATTTTAATGGCCCTTCTCGGCCCGACTGCTGCTGATACGATAATTATAGTCGAAGTTACGTTGTTTTCGGCCCGAATACAGCGTTACGACGACAACAATCTGGATGTAGCGTGAGCAGTTCTCATTCTGAAACGAATTATCCATCAATGAAGTTCCCCACACCAAATCTCAAGAGTTATTATTGTGACTTTGAGTAATTTTACATTGTCCGTATATTCTTGCCTTGGCATGACGTGCAAGCGTAGGGTGGGGGAAAGAAACCTCGTTTCAGGACGAAGTTTAGGCGGGAAAATGTCTGGAGACGTAGATGGTTTTAGAGATTTATTAACATGGTAAAATGAGGATTTCCTTTTTCTGACTTTTGCTTTAATAGTCGCGCCGATAAATAAGCCACACACACACACACACACACACACACACACACACACACACACACACACACACACACACACACACATTGATTATAGAGTAGTAAAACTTTTCTTTCTATTATTTATACGAAATCTCTTTATTTCCAAAAGGAGAGTTGGACTGTGAAGAATGAAAATATCTCTGATTTAAAGAAGTAAAAGTCGAGATGATATTTTATCTTATTTTTCGATGATTGGTATTTTTCGTATGTAAAAAAACAATGTATATACATATCCGCATACACCTGAAACACGCCTGGCCGATCATGTATATTTCGGTTAATGACTGACTAGGTAGAAGATTTCCTGTAGTAGGTGGGCGTTTTTTTTTTCTGCGTTAGACTGATTGCGAACCAAATCAGGCCATCTAATCAACCCATAGCTAGGAGGTGAAGAGATAGATTCATACCTTTTCCATACTTTTTTTACCTTTTGCATGTAAGTAAATGTAACGGATCCGACTGGAATTCGAACACTTCTCTTCACAAATGACATATCTAAGTCAGCTTTGTTTTTATCTTTAGGCTTCTTAAATGATCTCTATCTCTTATCGTGCAAGCATGCATCATATGCTCTCTCTCTCTCTTTATATATATATATATATATATATATATATATATATATATATCCTTCTTCTCTATCGCTCTCTGTGTTTTTGAGCCGCTGTTTCTATAGAGTTTTTTCTGTCAAAGATTAGTATTCTTTATTAAATTGTCTTGACTAATTGTGTAGTGGGCGCCATCTACCTTTCGTAACGAGACTTGTTGACTATTGCCAACTTCTTTCCTGTTCTAAGCCTGATATTCCGGAAGGAACATTTGAAGCAATTCATTCTTCGTTGTTTATTTCCAACTGTTATGTTGATGAGAGAGGATTTTGTTGTTTGTTCTTCACGTGTGAGTTCGAATCTTCGTCGCCACTTGTAATGGTCCGGTTCTTTGTACCCCGGGTGATAGTCCAAGGTAGAACCAATAAAGAAGAACTCGAATACGGATATGGAATAACACAGAATATATTACAAACAGGAATATATACAGAGAAGTAGAAAGTGTTAGTACGAACAATCAGGTTTAGTAGGGAGAACAATGTAGTCTCGACCAGTATCACTATTCCAATGTCTTGCAATAATTGTCTGAACGCGACTCTGTTTCGGACTGCCTCTGACAGACTCGCTCTGACTGACTGACAGACTCCTGACGGACCTCACTCCAGATTTCAGACTGAACGGTATTTAGTCACCCCCCACGAGGACATCATGTGGCACAAGGCCGGTTTAACGTGAGATCTCCGGGTCCGTGGGCTCGGCCAAAAATATGCCCTTTGAACCCGTATAAACGGGTTCAGGGTCGGTTTACCTCCCCGAAAGAAACTCCGCCCTTCGGCGTAGCCTCGTTCGGGTTCCTCCCTGCCCGAAGGCAGAGAGTTCAACCGATCAGCCGGTCGTCCGACTTCGGACTGAACTCTCAGCTTCCTCTTGAGGCGCAGTATTTATTACGTATGGAATAGTCCATTATGTTATTATGGGTAAGGTCCCATAACACCAACAAAACGTTTTGTTCTTTAAATTTCTTTTTTTTTTTTTTGTAATTTTTTTCTTAAAAAATAGTATGGTAGAAAAAAGTGAGCATCGTGTTATGTCTGCAAAAAATTGAAATAAAGGATATGCTAATGAATTTCTTTTTTTACGGACAGGAAGATTTCGCGAGGACTCACTGAAAAGGTCTTGGTCTGACAATCTTCTCAAAATATAACTATTCATGAGTTTTTTTTTTAGAAGAGCTCCTTGGTCGGAAAGAGAAGTTTTCAGTAACTCCGTATGTAAAAGTGTAATGCTTGCGTCTTCGGCATTTACACTTGTGAGGAAAAGTATATATTTCATTATTTACATTATTCGGACTATTGTCCTCATCTTTGTCGCCATATTTATTACAACGTTTCGGCCGTTGTACGCTTCCGCCTTACAACGCTTCGCCCCACAATGGCCGAAACGTTGCAATAAATATCCTCCTGGATTAATACCTTCTTGGAATTATCCGTACCAGTAACAAATTGGTAATATATATATATATATATATATATATATATATTATATATATATATATATATATATATATCGACTCATTTGTAGGTTAATGCACCTTTAAAATTTTGTTTGCGAAGGGTTTTCGCCATTTTATGTCATTAACTTTACTAATCTACTTTTTGTATAAATGATTCATTGTAATATAAATTAATCTGCGCCATATATTTGATTTAAAAAGAACTGATCCGACGTGCAAATTTTCGGGATAAAAACTGAGACATTACTCTACTTATTGAACTATTTAGTTCATGCCACATTGACTGATAAACTCTTACAACAACAACAAAAAATCTCAAATTGCCATATTAGTAAAAAGCGCACTCTCTGAAATTTAAAAAAAAAATCCAACCATAACGTTGCTACTGCACGCTCCAAAATTTTGTATCCGTTATCAATAACACATTTAAAAAAAAAATCAAAACAAAAAAAAACATTTCGATTCGCATTTAATTTTTTCGTCTCGGATGTTACCTGAATTTTACCAAAAACAAAATAATTTCCATGCCTGAATGTACAGTTGAAAGTACTTGCGTATTAAAGAAAGGCCTTATACAACTTATAATTTTAAAAACAAGATCTATCGAGTGATTTGTGGGTTAATTCACCTTTAAAATTTCGAGATAAGTATTAAGGGAAAATTAAAACAATGAAAAAAGAATAAGAAAATATAACATAACACTCGGAAATAGTATGGCATAGAAAAGTGAAAAAAATATGAAAAACCCAACAAAAATCAAGTTATATACAAAAAAAAAAAAAATAAATAAATACAATTAATAATAATCAAAAGTGTTTATTTCGACGATGCCAATATACAGTTAAGACTGGTGGGCTCAAGCAGTGCCGCTGGGCTCTTGGGTAAAAATCAGAACAAGAAAGGATTGGTGAAGCTAACATCCAAATAGGAGTGGGTATCTTTAGGTCAAGCCGTACGGGTCTTGAGAGAGGGGCTTGAAGGGATCGCCAAATTCGAACCATTTTTAACAGGTTTTATATTTCTTCGTTTTTAAATATATGCGGCACTACACCACATTGTTGGAAAAACGCCAAGCCCAAAATTTCTCACCCAGTTTACCACTCATGATTGACCACCCATTAAAATGTAATATTGGGAATTAACACTAAGTTAATGTACAAGCAAGCATTCTATGCAGACGTGCCCACATGCGCGCAATCATCTATCTATCTATCTATCTATCTATATATATATATATATATATATATATATATATATATATATATATATATATATATATATATATATATATGACTGTCTATGTTTCAATTTATCTGTCTGTCTGTCTGTATATCTATCTATAAATTTTTCTATCTTTGCGAATTTTTTCATATATCGCAATCTGTATATAGAACTAATTACACCAGTCTATCTATCTATCTATCTATCTATCTATCTATCTATCTATCTATCTATCTATCCTTTTAATATAATATTTAATATTAATTGTTAATATTAATATTTAATAGGTGTTGATAGGTCCGCTTATTGTCCGGTTCACACTCCTCCCCGGTCTTTTGAACAGGAGTAGAGGTTTAACCCGTGTTTCCTGTTTAGGAGTGGCTTCCTGGCTCCTTCTAAAATCTTTTCATTCTCTTTCAATCACAACACCCCCGCTTTGCGTCTTAGTGGCATTATCGCTTTGCTTGAGGTGAATTGATTTAAACAATTATATCTTGTTAATTTAAGTGATAGTATATGGAATCTAATATCTGTCTTGTGTGCGGGCCTGTTTGAAGGTCATGATATGAAATATTAATTTTCAAGGTAGGTAAACATTGTATAATTGGCCCAACAGAAACTTACTCCCTGCAAATCCTCTGAAACATTCTATCAGTTTGCTGTATACGAATCAGTCTATCAGATTTTTCAGTCGAGTGAGATTTTCAGTCGAAAACTTGTCAGTAATCAAATTCATGCGACGAGCCTGTATACTGAAAATATCCAGATCAAATGTAGTTCTTATTTCAAGTCAAGTTTCTATATAAGCCAAGTAAAAAAAAGTAGCGTACAGTATTTAGTATGTGCAGGGAGATGAAATGTGAATAACTTATAAACATGAAAGGCAGGAGATCGTGAACAAAGTGAAATGAACTACGTACAAAAATGCATATCCATCCAAATATAGTGAATCTTTATATAGCTCTCAGTTTCTGGAGATGCAGGCAACGTATTCGATCAAGTAATTCTTCGAATTCGACGAAAATTGTTCGGAATTACTTTCTCAAAAGATCGTAAAAATTCATCTGGTTAACACACGACTGGATGCTTATTTAATGACCAGTTAAATCATCATTCATTTTGGTTGCGAGGTCTTAATTCATTCGTTGTATTCAAGCAGATATGGCAGTGTTAATTACCATTCATTTCTGTCTTAAAATGATTCTCTTACTGTTTTCAAAAATGTATTGTTCGTAATATATTTTTTTCTTTTTTTCAAAAATGTATTGCTAGTAATATATTTTTTACTATTTTTCCCAAAATATTTTGCTGGAAATATATTTTTTCTTTTTTTCAAAAATATATTGCTTGTAATATAGTTTTTCCAAAAGATATTTTGCTGGTAATACATTTTTTTTCTTTTTTTCAGAAATGTATTGCTAGTAATATATTTTTTACTATTTTTCCCAAAATATTTTGCTGGAAATATATTTTTTCTTTTTTTCAAAAATATATTGCTTGTAATATAGTTTTTCCAAAAAAATATTTTGCTGGTAATACATTTTTTTCTTTTTTGCAGAAATGTATTACGAGTAATATATTTTTCTTTTCTCAAAAATGTATTACTGATAATTTTAATTTTTTTTCAAAAAATCTATTGTTGGTAATATTCTTTTTAAAATGTATTGCATGTATTTTTCCTATAAGAATCTATTTCTAAACTTTCATAGTCTTTTCACTCCAGTTTGTGGGTTAACTATTAGCTCACATCTGGACATTAACAGATGCTAGGACACTGGGTCAGGGTGGATCTGAAATCAGCAACATTTAAAAGGTGGTTCCACGTTCCGTAATACCCCTCCATCAAAGACCTTGCTGGCGGATATCGTCATAGCCAGTACGACTCAATTCCTGAACCTCCATATCTTTTTAGTATTCGCTAAATGTAGCCTAGTTTAAAAATAGTAAACAATAGCCATTGAGAATAGAACTTACAACAACATTAGTGTCCCTCAATATAATCGTAACCGACTGTAGCAGTGTCTATTATTATACTTGGGTCTAAAGGTAAAGCGATTTGAGAGTTTGAACTAAAATGAATTGTGAGACAGATTTTACGTAGAAAAAGAATTGTTTGACAACTTAAGAGACAGCAAACGCTATAACAATGATGGGAATTGGAAACGTTGATCAGCTTACGGCTACATCACGTTGAAACCGTACGATTACCGATGTTGAGCAACATCGATCCTGGTCAGTACCTTGGAGGGTAACCGCTTGCAAATAGCAGCTTTTGTAAGCTTGGATGTGCGAGTGGTGTAATGGATAATGCCTTGTAAGTGTTAATCAGTGAACCGAGTTCGAATTCCCATTGTGTTCGTTATATTCATGTACGTGCAAATACCTTTTGGAAAGGTATGAATCCATTTTTTCTCCCCTCCCAACTATGGGTTAAGTATTTTCCACTATCTATCTATCTATCTATCTATCTATCTATCTATCTATCTATGTCTGTTCATATCTATCTATCGATCTAGCTAGCTAGTTAGCTATATCAGTCTGTATCTATCTATCTATCTATCTATCTATCTATATATATATATATATATATATATATATATATATATATATATATATACATCTCAGTTTGTTCAAATCTCATGATTTCAGTCTGTTGATATATATATATATATATATATATATATATATATATAAATTGAACAAAATAATATATATGGTCATATCTAGCTATGTTCAGATCTAGTTATCTATTTCAGTCTATCTATCTATCTATCTATCTATCTATCTGTCTGTCAGTCTGTCTGTCTGTCTATCTATCTATCTATCTAAGCTAGCTAGCTCAGTCTGTTGATATCGATGTATGTTCTTATCTTTCTATAAAACTTTGTATGTTCAAATATGTCTCTCTAGCAATCTAATTCAAAATGTTCAAGTATATTGGCATTGGGAAATTGTTATCATGAATAAGTGGTGAGTGCTCCCTACAAATTTGGACATTAAATAACCCAAATAGAGGAAATATGAAAACGTAACCCGCCAACAAAAATTGTATCCCAAAGAAATGCAGGGTATATGCTTTAACACAATTTGACTGGCAATAGCTAAACACTTGCCCGGTCTTACTATCAAAACATGTTCTCAGTACTGTGAAAGGCTAATTCTGAACTCCATTTGAAGATGGTAAAATCTATTTCTATTAAGTCCTTCCAGTCACCTCTCTCTAAGAAGGAGGAATGTTTGGACTGCTGAAACGTAATTAGCCTGTAATTATTATATATTCTATTTATCTAAGATTTGATTTTTTGGTATTAATCTTCAGTCGATGTGTATATTTTCCGTCCTCCATTTATCTCCAAGAGAAGACCGATGAACCGGTTTAGCACTGATGTAGAAAGAGTGAAAAATCGGTTTAGGTGTCTTTGCTATTAATCGGGTTGTATTTCGATATTGCAATTTTAGGTTAATATTTTTTTTTTTATTGCTGATTCTTCTTATTATTATTTATCGTGTGTGAACATGTCCTTTTTTATTGCTTTAATAAAATGTCGTACTATCAAAAAAAGTTTATTTTAATGTGTGTCTGTCAAAAACACCCACGGAACTTTGGCCAAGATTAATTCAAATAGAATTTAATAAATCACTTTCATCATTTAATGAAATTTTCTTTAAAAAAAAAAACAAGTTCTCCTTGGAGATAGAACATCGCCGAGTTTTGTTCTCTGATTACATCTCTTCGTTTTTTTTTCTTTTATTCTACTTTAAATAACTTTTCTTAGATTTGAACAGTAAATAAATACACTGAGAAATCGTTATTAGCTCACTAATAGTTAAAAGAATAAAAAAAACGAAATCTGTCGATGGTCAAATGTCAGCAAGCAAGAGAAATAAAGATGCCATTCAAAGTAGCAAATGGTGTTTATAACGAAATTTAAAAAAAAAAAACACAACGTCGTATATTTTTATGACAAATATAATATTTTCTGTTTCTTCTTCTGAATATTCCCTACGGAATAAGATAGATATCTACCACTTTTCTCTTATGTTTCCTTTAGTTTGAAAAAACAAAAAACAGTTCTCTTCCTCCTCTTATCATTTCCTTTTTTTTGTTTGTTTTGTTATCGCCATTTTTATTTCGCCGTTTACTCATTTCTTCTCTCTTCCTCTCCTTTACTTCTTTTTTTTTCCATTGAAGATTCCTTATAATTATCCTTCTTTTTTGTTGAATGCTATTGTTCTACAATTCTTCTTCTCTTTTTGCTCTTTCTATCTTTCTCTTCTTGTTTGTCTTTTTTTTTTTAAATCTGTCTTCTGTTTCACTTATTTTTCCAATCATTTTTATTTAGTCATTTCTTCCACTCTTCTCCTTTCTTTCTTATTGAGCTTTCTTTCACTTAGCCATTTCTTTTATTTCTTCTTCCTCTTCTTCTTCTTCCACTTCTTCTCGTTATTATTATTATTATTATTTTATTTCCTTTGAGTTTTAATGAATACTTGTTACGGGCCGGTGTATGCGTTGAGAGATACGCGTGTGTCCCTTGAAATCCCCACAACAAACATGGCAGACTCGGCATGTGAGTTCACGTAAACAAATATAAAGAAACGTAAAAAAACGACAAAAACCTATATATGTATATACGTATATATGTATATGTATATATATATATATATATATATATGTATATATATATATATATATATATGTATATATGTATATATGTTTTTAGCTTTTTTTACAAAGAAAATTACTGACATCTTCTCTCCTCTTAACTTCCTTCTCTCTTTTTCTCTCTATGGTTCTTTTCTTCTCTACCTCTTCGATATCAATATATAACTTCCGTTAAGTTAACCGTTTAAATGTGTCAGTATCTGCTAACTCACTCATGTCTTCTCTCTCCCCCCTCACTTCCTCACTTCGTTAATTTACATATGTTTAATTTCCTCACTTTGTTAATTTACATATATTTAATACGGCCCGTCAAAAATGTGTAAATTTTCTTTTCATTTTTTGTTTGGAAGTAAAGTCTGATAATCCGCAGTCATTTTAAAAGGGCTGTGGTGAAATAATTTATTACATTGAAACTTAAAGGGGTCCGTTTTTATTTAAATTATTTCTCTGGATTTACATTGAGCTTTCTGGATTTTATCCTCCTTAGGTTTACCCATACGGATTACCTAGTTTTTCATAAACTAAATATATATATATATATATATATATATATATATATATATATATATAGGTTCTTGTCGTTTCTTTACGTATATATATACCCCTTTCTTACCTTCCCCTTTCTTTGGGCATGTTGTATGCTATCTCCTTCACTAATTCCTAGGTACTTATAGGCTTCATTTTGTTCCAGTTCCCTAATTTTTGCGACAAAGTCTAAATCTATTGAGGATGTTTCTGTAATTCTCCCTTTCTTGAATGTTACTTTCCGAAGTCCATACCTATGTTGTCATTGAAACATTATACAATGTTGAGGACGCCCTTCAACTCATTGTCGTCTTTGGCAAAGAGTTTGTGATCATCCTTATAGAGTAGGTGAAGGACAAACAAAAAAAAGAGGAGACAGAGAGTCTCCTTGAAAGATTCCACGTCAGATATTTAGACAGTTGGAGATAGCAGTGCATCTAGTGTGTTTTAGGTATAGTGTGGAGTTCCACATTCCCATGCTGTGCTTAAGGAAATTTACTACCACAAGGAGATTTAGATTTACAATATCTTAAAGATCCAAGCGTGTGGCACACTATCAAAGACTCTGCGCTAATCAATCCACGCTGCGCTAATATTTCTACCTCTTCTCCTGCAATTTCCCAGGGTCATTTTTTTTTATCAGTATTTGATCTTTGCAACCATATGAACCTCTTCTGCATCCCTCTGCTCCAGTGAAAGAATGTCGTTTGCTTCGAAAAAAGAGTAAGTACGGTTCGTCAGGACAGACGTGATCAACTTATACGTGGTGGAGAGACATGTTATTGGCCTATAATTTTTCAGATCATCTGTTTCACCCGTTTTTGGTATGAGATATGTAATAACTTCAGTGATCCATTCCAGAATTTCATTGGGATTATTTACAAGTTTTTGCAAGGATTTTATGGATTAATGAGAGATGATAGACCCATTACGGCTGGCCTAAAATTATTTGTGCTTATATTTTCCCATTTTTGCAGAGGTTTATCCCGCATCCGTTCTTCTTCACGTTGGATCCATTCTGCATTTGGGTTATATTCCTTTGGGCTGCTCCAAATAGTCTCCCAAAATGTCTACACATTGTCAATAGATGGTGGCTTTTCGACATGTATAGGTGATTTAACTAACAGCGTCGAAAACCAAAGACGTACAGGTGCTCCGAGGAAGATTTCTCTAAGATCAACAAGGATATTAGGACGCCAAATTCAACAAAATCCACAGATTATCCGAGAAGAGCTGCAGAAACATCTGCGTGCATTAGAGATTAAAGTAAGCAAGCGTACAATAAGTAATGAACTACACAAAAACAGTCTGAAATCACGCATCCCAAGGAAGACTCCACTCCTCTTGAAACGACACAGAGATGATAGGCTAAAATTCGTTAGAGACTATAAGGATAAAGACTATTCGTTTTGGGAAAAAGTACTATGGACAGATGAAACTAAAATAGAGTTGTTTGGTCATAATTATCGAAACCATGTGTGGAGGAAGGACGGTGAAGCCTACTTACCAAAGAACACGTTGCCAACTGTAAAGTTTGGTGGTGGCAGTATCATGAGGCTGTTTTTCTGCAAAAGGTGTTGGCAGAATATCAATAATAGATGGCAAGATGAATGCCGAAAGATACCATAAAATCCTCCAAAACAATTTAATGCGTTCTATTGAGAGACTTCGGCTACCTCCTGATTGGGTTTTCCAACTGGATAATGACCCTAAGCATACCGCTAGATCTACAAGAAAATGGTTAGCTGAAAGTAATGTTGATGTCTTGCAATGGCCAAGTCAGTCCCCAGACTTGAACCCAATCGAGAATTTATGGCGATATTTGAAAATTCAAATTGGGAAAAGAGCACCAACAAATATCAAGAATTTGAAGACAATATACCAAGAAGAATGGGACAAAATACCACTCAATGTGTGCAAATCATTAGTTGAGACGTACAGAAATAGACTGGTAGCTGTTGAACTCAATAAAGGATATTCCACAAAATATTAAATTAATATGATTTTTTGGTTTTGTACGAATACTTTTTTCATCAGTTAAAATGAAAAAAATGCATTAATTTCTGTTAGAATAAGAATTAATTAAGTTTATTACTATTTTTAATAAAATGCATCTTTACACATAAAATGTATCAAAATTTGTTTTAGTTAAGGCTTTTACATTTATAAAATACAATTTTTCCTCTGTACGAATATTTATTTCCCCCCACTGTATATATATATATATATATATATATATATATATATACATATATATATATATTACCAGCTATACATTTTAGTAATAGAAATTAGTAATGTTCCCCTCAAAATTAAATTTCAACATTAAATATCCCATAAGGAGTGGATATACCGCTAAACAAAGAAAGAAACAAAAGAAAATCAGCAGGAATCGGATTTTTTTTTCATACGTTGAAATCTGTCTGAAAAGTTCTGGCTGATTCTTTTAATTTACGCTTAAATTGTCGGCTCCTTAAAAAAAAAATATATATATATATATATATTCTCGACTCTTCCGTGGAATTCGACGTATGAGGCTCAAGCAGATCAATTCCGTAACCAGCACATGAGATTTGATTATAGTGGTGAAGGTTTCGTGCAGAACCATCCACACTTTCTGAAGGGCCGAATACAGAGACTTGGTAGACTACATGACATAAGGTCCCCCAGTTGCCATCCAAGGCTATAGAACCCAGTCTGTCCTGCTATTTATCCATAGCTGGAGGGAGAAGAAGAGGGTATTAGCAAGTAAGTGAATGTAATGGATTCGACTGGAATTCGAACTCGGCTCTCCGATTCCTTAATCCAAGTCTCTATCCATTACTCCACCGTGGCTTACACACACACACACCCAACACACACACACACACACACACACACACACACACACACACACACACATATATATATATATATATATATATATATATATATATATATATATATATATATATATATATATATGTTTCATTAAATAATATAGACAAGTGTAAATTCTTTTCATAACGTCTGATAAGCTTGATAACATTATCATTAAACGAAGAAAGAAAATCACAATATTGATACATATTTTTTAATCCTATTTAAGATTTCGGCTTACATAAGCCATTATCAAAGATGTCAATTACTGTACAATATATTAAGCAATACACGGACAAGAATGTGATGATAGTCTGTTTCTGTTTACATGGATGATTTCCAAGCAACGATAAACACGTGCATATAAGACGCTGGAAGCGAAAATCGCACCACAGCTCATGACGTCACACATGACCAGGCGAGAGTGAATTCGAGAAGTATTAAGTATGGGAAGCCGTTGGTATAAACCAATGGCTTCTGTTACCAATTATAGACATTTAAGGATATTTGTGGAGATTACATAGTTTATTTTGTTTAGGTTAGGTTTCAACTATTTTATGTATATAGCTTCAAGAATTTTTAGTTTTTGTTTATTGTTTTCATGTTTAAGTATAATTACTTAATATATATTAACATAACAGCAAAGCAGACTTGTGGGAAGCAATTCAAACTACCTTGTCGGAAATTGAAACTGTTGAAGTAAAAAAATCAAATGAAATCAATAGATCTGGCTGTTATTGACAAGAACGGTCACTATATTAAAATGTAAATTAGTCAAATACTTATCGTTTTGTTATTTGTTCTGTTATAGGTGTTGATCAAATTTTAATGATTTTCTTACCTTCTTATTGAAATAAAATGTGATTATTTTCCTAATAACTTCAGATGGCAGAATACATCAAATAACTTCAATAACCGCAATAAAACATCTTGATGCTAACTAAAATTTTAACTCAGGGTTTGTTTTGGCATATAAATTAATTGTTTAAAATTTGACAATTTTTTTCAAATCAAATATTGAAGATTATATCATTTGCTTAATAACTTCACACGGTGTGTATGCTATTTTGAGTATTTCGCAAAGCTTTTTTTATTCTTTTGTGATTGTGTCGTCAGTATATAAGATCTGATGAAGAATTGTCTTCCTTCCGGTTTAGAGTATTCATTTTATTGCAGCCATTTTTAATCAGTAAGCTCTTAAAATGGTTGTATATAGCTGATAGTCCCTGAACGTCAGGCATGACATTCATGTAAGTGTCTGAATTTAACGAAGCTATTTAAGTACATGACTCGAGTTCTTTTGGTTTTGCAGGATCTACGTCCACGTCTAACACAACTTATCCTGTGTTCCATTCTGCCACTATAAGATAATAAATAATTAGAATTCTGTGGA